AGTCATACAAGAAAGCCAAAAGGGAAGGAACTTACCAAGGTTTTCTGACCACGATGTGAAGCCTAAAGGAGTGCTGATCTACGTAACACCTAAAGAACATCTAAAGCACTAAAGACATAAAACACCATCTTTTGCTTTTCTTGTACTGTATAACCAAGTTTCTCTTCCACAGAATAGCAAAATTTTCATTCACAACAAGAGTGTGGGAGCCTAGGGAGTATGGACAAAGATTCACCTGATTCCAAACATTTTACATAATTTAAGAAGATCAGGCTTAGAAACAGTGTTGGTTTCTCTTCTCTTCTCTTCCAACAGGACAGTGGATCTCCACAGCAGTCACCCATGAAAAATGACAAAAAAAAAAAAAAAATCATTTTAAAGGATATCGCCTGCGTTAAAATTCAAAGAAAAGGTTGTAGAAACCAGGATTAACTTCCACTTCCTTCTGTCTTCTATTTAATCACTCCAATTTCTCCTCAGCAGCTTTGCAGGTGTCTCTTTTCTTCTTTTTCTTTTAACCTTCTCTTCTGCTTTGCTCTTCTCCATTTTTTCTGCATTTATAATAAGGCTAGATTACTTTTGAATGTTCCCTATCATCTTATTCTCCTCTATTTCTCCAAGAAATGATTTTCTTGGGATAAAATTGTTGTGACTGTGCCCCACTACTTAATTAGCCCTCTCTCTCAGAATAATGAAGACTCCCTTCTCCCAGGCTAAGTGATAATTGCCATTAACATCAGGCACATAAGTCACCAGTTTTCCCAGATCATAAGACTGAGCAGGGACTAACACCTCTAACCACAGCAAAGCATTCAACCACCATGATACAACAAAAGGAGGATTCCCTGAAAGCCCTAATGCAGTATCACCATCCACCATTTTCAGAAGCCAAGTGGCTCATGTACGTGAAGAGCAAAGAGATAAATGTTCCCCTAGACTGTGATGTGTACTAACTTCTAGTCAGTTGCATGATATGAGGCAGATGAGTGGGACACCGGGAGGTGCCTCCACATGCACATGCCAGTGGTCACTTTCCATTTCTCTGATTTCTCCATGCTTCACCTCATTCCTCAGAGGCATTATAGATGTCTGTAGTTGAGAAAAAAAAACCTCAAACCTAGTCATTCATTTCTTAATGTGATTTTTAAAATATTGTTCTTATTTTCAATAATTTCTAGACTCACTACTAAACAAGCAGTTTGTTGTATCATTCTCTTCTGGATCTACTGGACCACTTGTTGCAGAATACTAATCCTTATCTACTTGAGCTACTCTCCCTTCTCATCTATATTCCACTGCTGACTTTAAAAAGTGGGTCCTTGGCACTACAATTACACTGCTGAAGTCTGTCTCAAAACGCACTCTTGTGCTCCTTTTCTTCTCTCTTTTGTTTCTGTCTCCTGGACACATAGATCTTTCTCCCAGTCCCTCCTGATCTATTTCTCCTATATTTGCATTTTTCAGTGGTAAGCTTGCTGTAACAATGCTACTGACTCCTAAAAGACTGCCTGAGTAGCAAGCAGTTCATGTTCTTGTGGTTTAAAGACACTCTGAAAAGTGCAAACCTTGACATAGGTCTTACTGAACTTTTCTTCTGCCCCGGTACTACTCTTCCTTTTAGAGACACAAGAGAAATTGAAATTTGGGATTGGAGATGTTATCCTTATGTTCAGAGTCTGCAAGAGACAAAAATGTTATGGACACTGAGATCTGTTTCTGCTGCCATGTATGTGCAAGTTTTCAGCCGTCCCAGAGTTTTCTTCAGTGAAAAACTAAAACTGAGTCTGAATTTGAGTAATGACACATACACCCTGCAGGGACTCCAGGAACATGAAGATGATGTTAGTGAAATAGAAGTTGTTATCAGATAATCATATGCCATCACTACTTTGGTGTCACTTGACAAAATTTTGTATTGTCTGAAAAATGGTATTTATATCAGAACTGCCAACTATCCATTGTACCCCTGCAATTCCAGCTCTTACTTTGTCCTAATTTGTCTTACATTACCTTTATTGGTAATTGCTCTCTGTTTTTTACTTGTTTATCCATTGTAATCAATTTCAGATTTCATTCTCCAAGCTTAAACAAGCAAAAAAATGTTTTTGTCCCAAGCTCAAGAATGTGATGTAATTAAATCTAAAATTCATCTATTGCAACAAAGACAGTATGAAACTGAAACATAAAGGTTCTTTATATACTTCTAATTTTTTTTCACTATGCAAGTATAAATCCATCTTACTGTTGATTTTGAAAGTCTTTGATCTGTAAGATCTTAGAAACTTGTTCAACCACAGATATGCACTCAGACATCAATACTTTAAAAGTGTATCGCATCATATCCTGTATAGGTAATAAGTGGGGAAAGATCCAAACGTGGTCAGCTGTTAAATAACAAAAGGCAGAGTGCTGAATATCAACCCTTAAGCAAGAGGAATTCAGTGGGAGAGCAACATTTGCTCCTTAAGCATCAGTGGGCATATGCCCATTAACTGTACTGTAAGCATAATAGAATCCACAATGCATTTAATAAGCCAGTATGAGTACCAGCAGCGTTGCCTTGGATTCCTCCTACTTCTACTACCTCTTCTGCTTCAATCTTCTAAGTGTTTTGCAACAGGGAGCACTGTCTCCCTCTGCAGGCTAGTGTTCCCACAGCTGTTTAATTTTCATTGTCCTCAATTTCTACTCTCATTGCAAACACTGTGCTATTCACATTTACTCCTCACTTCACACTGTCTCATGCTCCCAAAATTAGGTGATTTCTAGACCACTGGATACACTGCATCATGTCATCTGATCCATGTCATCCTTATTTATTGTGGAAAATTCATAGGTAATGGCACTGTTAGCTTTAGGTGCAATTTATTTTACCTCCCAGGGAAACAATTTCCCCTGAAACAAGGCAAAGCTTGAAAGACTCCATTGAATCCTACATAGTACATAATAGTAGTTGCTTCTCATAAAGGTTTCATTTAATTTAAAAAATTTACTAAGTAATATATTACTTAATTTGTTTGTTCAAGTCCACAAAGCTAGTAGCAGTGTTTCCAGTAAGACAAGAATCATCACAGTTTCCAAATACGGGAAGATTCATTTTGAGACAGTTTACTTTGACCACATCACTTTATTTAAATCTTGTTCATTTGTCACTGACAACATCACCTGCTGAGCTAAAATGTTTTTCAGGCTGAAGCTGAAGGATGGGCAACCAAGATTAATGGGATATGAATCACATATAAGCAAATAATTTTCTTTGACCAGCACTGAATTCTCATTTATGCTATTGTTGGATAGTGCTAGGAAACTGTACTTGAAAAACAGTGCACATTTTCCCTTTATGATATTTCATTTTCAATCAGCTGCCCCCAAAAGTTGCCAGATTCATCACTTACAGACACCATCTGCTGACCTGTCATGCAGGGTGGTCAGAGCTGTCACAGTAGAACATTTTTTTTTCACCTGGACTTGTGCATAAAAGCAACAGAAGGAGAAAAGTGCTTATTTAAAATACAGACCTTATTTATTTTGTTTGGAGGATTCTGTACATGCTTAACTTTCACTAAGGCAGCAAAGTAATAGAAGCAGAGGGAAATTAAAATCAGTGTGTTGCATGGGACAAGATTCTTGTATCAAATGTGAACTTTAACTGTTTTTACTTTTCCACTATTGCAGCTGATTTGCCAGCTCTAATATAGATACACATCTCATCTGTTTCACTGGGATTTTATCGGAACTACTGAATGCAACAGAGCGCGGGCAGATGGTGAAGCTAAGGAATATCACCAGTATAGTTCTTAGTCCTTTTTCATGCCATGCTCTCAAAACTTCTGGCTGTGTTCATGTTAGAAAGAAATCTGGCTTCAAAGCTGAATAAAGCAAAGAATAAGAGAATATGCACTAATACATTTCTAGTGCAACAGCGTTTTAGTCATACCAGCACAGACCCACTTATGATTTATGTTAGATACTCCAGAGTCGTGACCTCTAAATGTCACCCTTTCTGCAAAGCATTCCAGCAGCAAACATCCAGGCTTCCTAATAATCCAAGAAATGGTTTTCTGAGCCCCCATACAGATTTTCTTATATTAATGACTATTTTGCTCTGTTGCCCCAAAAATTCTCCTGTACTGCCCTTATACACTGAGGTTATGTTTGAAATGAAGAAAACATTATTAAGGGTATAAAAAGCACAGCTGCTACTACAGAAACGACAATCTTGATTTAACTATAAATGGATGGTAAACACAAATGTAATTTTAGCAGCAGTCATCTACCATGGTATTATAGTTATGTATGCAAATATTGAGTGGATGAATGCTTTTGTTCCATAAAAGTTATTCCTTCTCTATCTAAAAAAATTACAAAATTCTTGTTTCCAGCAAGTGCTAAGCTGACTTCAGGCAAGGATATCTTTCATGCTTTGGGATGTATTTTCCATTCTTGTCTTTGGGATCTATCATATAAATAGACTTGGTAATTTCAGATTTATTTAGTAATAAGGTAAGAAGAGCATTAGAGACCATGAATTTCAGCTGCTTTATTCTGTGACTCAGCAGAAACTTCTTTTTCCATAACAGCCAACAGTGGGGGGAAAAAAGTCTACAGAGGTGAATCACCTTTGTATCATTATTATGATTAGTCAACAAAAAAATATTCTCCATAACACAGGACCTATATGAATGGGAATAGGACTCACAATGGGTTTGAAAGTTGAAATATTTTTCATGTTTTTCTACTCATCTGTTACGCAAATAATTCTAATTCTCTAGAAAATTACGACTAGAATTTTCTTTTTTTTTACCCAAAGACCACTAGGTAAGATAATTCCTCTGCCTTTGGAGTATTCTTTGTTCATCAGTGGACAACAGCAAAGGACTCCTTTGCTTTGGAGATCTTATTAATCTGGAGTTCTAAATAAAGAACATATGGAAATACTGTGGATCCATGTTTTTTTTGTTTGTTTGTCTTACCTCTGTTCACTATCAAGGAGATCTCCTTATGATCCAGAAGGTCAATCCACAGGAAGCATGGCTACTTACATAAAACAAAGACTCAGTAGTCTAGAACATACAGTACTGTCATTCCAATGTAGCACTTATAAATAATCCCTATCAGTTGAGGTTGACCTTACAAGCATTTCTGTCTCGGTTTTGATTTTCTCAGAAAGAAGAAAATGATAGGGGAAACAGTTTTACATCATGAATTCTTCCTTGAAAGGTTTATAATTTATCATTTTAGCATTTCTGTACAGATCTAAGCATGTTGTCATGATCAGATTAATTTTTTTCTGAGTATCTCTCCTCAATTAAATTATTTACCCGCTTGACACTGCCCTGAACATCAGCTACAGCGAGAAGACTAAGCCATTTCTGTAATAAGCAGTAGAAAAAAAATAAGTTGAATTTTCACTGAATAGGCAAAGAAAACATTAGAAACTTCAGATGAAGTTTTCTATGGTCTTCTGCTGCAGTTTAACCAGGTTAGCATTATGCACCTTCATTTTTAAACAGCAGCTACTCAAGAAGCTATGAAAACACCTTTTTTTTTTTTTTTTTTTTTTTTTACACCTTACTAGGGCAGGGCGAGAAGTAGGACATTAGAACACCTGCTCCTCTATGTCAACCACACAGGGGAATAAAGAAAGGACAGGACATCCCTACATACTTTTGCTCTTACTATCCTCCCTTTCATCAATAAACCTCTCTCACCACATCATGCCCTTTTGTCACCACATTGGCATCGAAGTTTCTTGAGTATCTAAAATGACAATCTCATGTCAATCCTGTAGTACACTCTGAACTGCTGAGGGTTGCAGCATGGATTCTTCCCAAAATCATGAATCAATCCCCCCATAGCAGTTAGACTCATTTTTAACAGAATTTTTCATCCGACTCAGTTCAGTATTTGCTTTCACTTTTTTTTTTTTCTTAAAAAAAAAAAAATAGATGAGCAGGATAACTGTTGCTGTTTCATCACTAACAGATGGCAATCAAAACTGTCTTAAAAAAAAAAATCAAACAAATGCTTCAGCATGATTCATTGAGTAAAATTGAGAACACTACCCTCCTGCTGCTTAGGCACATCATCTTTTCAATAATTACCTGCAGATTTCTTTTCAACTTCAATAATGCTAATTGTGTGAGTAGAATTTACAGCTAATGTATATTTGTATTAAGATCTCAAGAGAAAAAACAGCACATTTTTTACTTACAGTTGTTCATTTTGTTTACCAGAAAGGACTAGGTTTTGCAGTAGTCACTATTCTGCATTTTTTTAAAGAATTGTTTTTGAAGACATCTTTATTTAACACATTTTGTTGCCTCTACAGTTTGTTGTGATATTATTTTCCTACTAGATTGCATCAGTTACTTATTTAAACACATATCTGTTACCAAGATTATATAATTGTCTTCCTAGATACCAGGTGGGATATAACTTATGTTTCTTTACTTGATTAATGCAATTACAGCTCATAATCTTCTTCCATGTGAGAATTTTCAGGATTAACAAAATGCCGTATGAGATGTTTTCTTTGGCAGTTGGCCTCTGTAAGTGTGCATATAACCTGGAAAGCTCTCCTATTCAGATGTTTCTTTGCTTAATATCCAACTGATTATTCTTAAACATAAGTCCATGTATCTTCATAATTGAAAATGCAAAACCTTTTCAGGAAGGGTGGCATATACACAAAAAAAAAAACAACCTTAGCCATCACATATTTTCATATTTCTTATTAGAATTGAGTATCTGATCTCATTGCCACCATAAAAGTCTGGAGAGATTTGGACATATCAAGTCTCTGGGTTTGAGTGGTGGTGGGATTGCAGCTGCTGGGATTAAGACATCTCTTTTTAGCCAATTTAAAATAATAATATATATATCCCCATGATATGATATCGATCAAAGCCCTTCTTACCATAGATGCAGCTGCAAGAAAAGCAGATAGGAAATTTGCTTGATAATAATGTTTTGTGATCCAGATCTAAAGTTATGCAGTAAGTTTAGCTGTCTTTGTGAATATTACATATCACCTGGCATACCACTGTACCATACATGAATGGAAGTTCCTGCCACTGTGTATTAGGTTTTCCAAACACTGCCATTGTAAGAGATTCATTGGTGCACAACCTGCCTATGATGTGTTCAGTGCCAGCCAAAATAACCCTGTTGCATAGTTAGTTTGATGAGTAACTGAATTTAGAAACTGGCAAATATTAGGGTTAAGCACATAACAGTTTCCAAATGTATTCTTAATTACTGTTTGTATGGGAACTGCTGAGTCACGGCCTGAACCTCTGATTGATCACCTGAGGTGAGCCATGAGTCAGCCAGAGGAGCACAGGTGAGGGCAATTCACCTGTGCTACCGGAAGGGGTGGAGCCAGGCTCCACCCCTCCTGGACCTATTTAAGAGCTGGCTACCAGAGGGGAAGGATCTCTTCTGGAGATCCTCCTCTTTGATATCTTCTAGTGAGCTCAACCCAAGGGTAAGCTCTTCTACTTATTCTCTTTTGTGATCCTTGTTTGCCTTACTCTTTTGATTATATTGCAATTATAACATCTTGGTTATACAGCTTTGCCTTACTCTTTTGATTATATTGCAATTATAACATCTTGGTTATACACTGTTATACACAGTAATGTGGCATTTAGGTATCACTGGATTCTTTTAAGGGTCACCAAGCAAAGAGAAACAAATATAGAAGAGCACAAGCTTAGGACTTGAGAGCCGCTATGAGGTAATTAGCAGTAAAGTAGTAAAGATACTCACTCCTCCTCCAGTCGTGTGCAAAAAAATCCATTTGATTCATAAGTTGCCTAAAAGGTGCAAGTAATAAAAAAAAATTTAAATTTGGTTGAGAGAGAGTGTTCAGCATAACCTTAACGTGAGAAGAAGGAATAATCACTTAAGAGATATGACCCTGATTTACAGTGAGATTATCACAGTCAAAGAGAACCACAACTGAGAGTATTTGGGTTCCCACAGCTGTTATCAACACTAATCTTCACTTCTATAAATCAGTGTAAGATAACTACTTACTTGCAAATAAAGGAAATTACTATGTGGCAAATATACCTGAATAATAAACTTGGTGTCACTGACATCTGCATTTCCCCACTGAGTAGGAAAAGCTTTTGTGGAACATTATTTGTTTATTTCTTCAAAGCTTTTTGTGAGTTGATATTCAAGGAAAGGTTTAACAGTGAAATAGACTTCAGTTACGTACATGGTACATGTATGACATCAAATCTTATTTCCATTTTCTCCTTTTCTTTGGTGTTGGAGAGACCACCATGATGTGTCTTCCTAACACACACACACACACACACACACACACACACACAAAAAAAAAAAAAAAAACAAACAAACAAACAAAAAAAAAAAACCACTGCACTTTCAACTCTCTTCCACATCCACCAGCTACATCTCTGAAATAAAAAGTATAATGTAATCCTCTGATTATCTTAATTAAAACTCAGTTGGTTTTGACTGGATATCCTGTAAAACAAGATGAAGTCTGACACTAAATCAAACTAAATGTGTTATTCCTTGTATGCCCATCAGACAGTAAATACAGTTTTATGCATTGCCTTAAATCTCCCATCATAATACTGATGAACTTTGCAACAGATACAGCATTATGGGAGCAGTATCAACAAACTGATACAGCAAGCTGTAAAACTGTAACTGCCAGTCATTAAATTTCATGTTTCAACACTAGAAATGAAGAATTCTGTGAATTAACTCTTCCAGATACTGTGAATTCTAATGAAAGGTGGGGAAAAAAAACCACAAAGCTTTAACTCTTGTATCTTCAGTTTGTATTATTTTTTATTCACTTACCAGTTTTAAAGAATGTTTGAAACTGTTAACTTCAGACACAGAATATCTGATGAGTGGATACTAGGATCAAAGTTAATATTCCACAGTGGATATAAACACCCCTAACACTAATGACTACAAATTTTTTTCCTGTTTGATATGTTCAGTGCATGATTCCAAAACACCACCTTTCTGCCCTGAATTTAGTGATATATTGAACATTACCTGATTATCCCCATAAACTCATCAACATTTTTACGACACTGAGTTCTGCTGCTGCAGTCCTCATCTGGAATCTGGGATGCCTAAAAATCCCTCTTTAAGATTAGTTAACTTTAACAGTGAACATTTCTCACATGTCTAGGCCGAGTAGTAAGAGGGTATACATAATATTGAGCCTCTCATTCATAGCTGGCATTCAACTGAAATTAGAAGCAAATAAAATCTGAAAAAAAAAGTCACGGAAACAGGACATTTTTGCACAAAGTTTATTGTAAACTCACAATTTGCGAGTGAGAAGTAGATTCAGTTATCTCCGTATTTCTTGAAACTTCGGACACAATTTTCATATTTGGTTAGCTGGCTTAAAGCTGAATTTTATCCCTTGCTCTCAACACTCAGATGTACTCAAATGCTGAGACCTTACTTCTGAATAAAAAAACCAAAAACTATCTATTCTGATCAGCCTCTAAGGCTAAGCTCCATGATCCAGTTTGCATGCCAAACCTCACAGAATTAGACAGATGCATCCTAATTAGGAAGTCAATAGAGCATGCTTCTCCAAAACTTATCTGCATTCATTAGCAAAACCAAAATAATGCATAAAGGAATGGAATTACCATTAAACAGTCTGGGTGTTCATGTCCATTACCTTAGTATTCACCTGACTCTGTCCTGTTTGCCAGTAAAGATACAGCAAGATACACGGCTCCTTTGGAAAACCAGTTGCAGGTACAAGTGTTTTACATGATGTTCTACTTTTTTTCTGGAAGAGAAGGTGACTGGCACTTCCATCTATGTTATTTTCCTCCCAAGATAAATATATTTTATTCCTGTCAATTAGCTAAATTTTGGACTGTTATGACTGTAGTTACTTAGAAAATTACTGATATGTATGTGAGTAATTTATATCTATAAACAGCTTTCACCTCACTGTACATTTCACTTTCAGAATATCAAGCTATCTATTGTCAAGAAACTGATTTTTAAAAAGAGAAATAGTAGAAAATAGCAATAATGCTTTTTTGGTGTTAAAAAGCAAACATGAAGTTATGGACTTTGTTAGACATAACCAACTTCAGTAATAACTGAGAAAGAACTGAGTATTAGACATCTTCATAATATTATAAAGTCTGTACTTTGCAAAAGAATGACATGGATACATTATACGAATCTGAAAAGAAAACCTTTGGGAGATGATCTAATGGTAGCAATTATACAATATGCAGCAGGATAAAAGTTCAACAGCATAAATATTGATGGCAATTAGCTAAAAATTAAATGCACAGTTAAGAAGGAAAGTGCCGTAGGAGAATTGAATGCTTCAGCAGAAATCTTGTTTGGAATATTCAGCAAGAGATCACTTTTAGAAGTTGTGCTGAAATATAAACTCACCATTACTAAAGGCCTTTGATTAGGTGGAATAGATCAGATTTGTCTCTGAAACTTAAAAGCCTTACATAAGCATACAACATGAAAAGAGATGTAGAATTAGAAGGCAGCAAAGAAGTCAGTTTGTTGCTAAAAGAATGATACAGTCAGTCACACCAAATATCTATATCCCCAATTCGCAATTACTGAGCTTCATTTCAATAGTATGTGCAAGTGTCCTGATTAGATACTTGTATGTCTGTTAATATGAGGATCAATAAGAAATTTGTCAGCTAATAACATTGCTTCATATTTATGTCTGTATACTGATACCACAGTTCCCCACTCAGTCCAGGAAGACTGAAACTGACATTACTGTTGAGCTAGTCCTTGCTAAATCGACTTATCCCTATGCCACTGCCTCTTCCAGGCACAACTTGCTGTAACTACTGTATTAATTCTGCTCCAAGTTAAGTCTCTGATTCCAATCAGATTTTGTGTAAGCAGAGAGGAAAGGCAATGTTGAGATGATAAAGTGTATATGTGACAAGCATTGGTGTTACGTTTCTGTAGCAATGAACTGATTGTGGAATAACTCTCTCATTAAAGAGAGAACTAAGGTAATATGTATTATCTCCTCACTGAAACATCCTTGTCTCTAACTGTGTCATCTCTGTTCATTGCAGGGGAGTTGGACTCGATGGCCTTCAAAGGTCCCTTGCAGCTCTAAGTATTCTATGAATCTATTTATAAATTTAGTATATGTCACTTGTTCTAGCAAGGCAACCACAGCTTTACCAAGGAAGAGAAGCAATGCTTATTTTATCAGGGGAGTGACAAGACTTGGTCCTAAATGACAAAGACACTTCAGGGGAGAAGATGACAAAATGATTGCAGCATATAAAGGATTTCTTGGTGAATCATCCAGCCTTATCTCTGACTTCTGATGGAGAAAATTTTAAGCAACATAGGAAGAGGAAACATGTTTGGAAACATGGATTCATTTGTATTCCCACTAGAACCATGGAAGACAGGCAGATACTAATCCACATGTGAAAAGGACAGTTGAAAAGGAGTGGGTCATGCTACAGAAGACGCTTCACAATTCATATATACAGAAGTAAAAAAAAAAATTTTGAGGAAGAAACAATTGTCCATGAACAGCTCAAGCTGATGTTTCCTCTGTATGCTGACGCTATGATAGAAGAACTACGTCTAACTAAAAAATAAGAAATTATGTTTCCTTACTAGGAAGTTAAATATTGCTGTGATAGCTGTTTCTGGCTAATACCCAAGCCAAATGCCTTTGTCAATGTGTCATCACACAATCTCTGATTTAGACCTCTTGAAAGACCTGGAACACAGAAAACTAACCTGTTCTTCTGGGAAGTTATTTTCTCTAATGAATGTAATACAAAGCAAATGTAAGCACAGAAAGAATTCTCAACAAATGACCTTCTACAGCTGGATAAAGACCTTTCATTTTCAAACTCAGCACAAATAAGTTTCGTATGTCTCTTATTTTATTCCTTTACCCACATCTTTTATCAGCACTTATCTACTTTTATGCTGAAAATAAGGACTTTTCTATGCATTCAGGTTAACCTAATTGAAAAGTGAAGCAAATTCTTTTCAATAGTTGTACGAGGAACTGATCCCCATGACCTTGCTGAAGATGAGCAACAGCTTGAAACCAGATACTGCTTATCATAAGTTTCAGAGTAAAGCCAGATAATATGCTGAGTAATCTAGTCATGAATGCTTATATTTATTCAGATTATTCAAATTTATCTCAATGTTACTTGCAATGTTAAAATAAACACATTACTTCAAGGTATGTTGAAAGAAATTACGCTATCTCACCACTTTTCTTCTCAGGTTTACCAAGCCTTACCTAGCTCAACTCTTCTTGGTTCACATGATGATGCTAGCTTGTAATCACCTAACCTTTCTCACTGAGCAAGCATTTTATTCTTTAGATACTGCTCAAACTCCATCAGCCTTCATTATCAGCCATATCAATTTACTGTCCAAGTTTAATTCTCCCCACTGCTTTGCAAAGTACAGAGACACTCAGGACTGCATGAAGTGGGTGCTAGGTGACTGTGAAACACTTTTGGTCAGCAGAAGTATTTGACAGTTATTTAACACTTACTTTGCACTGAGATAAATAACAGAGAACTTAAGGCAGTAGAAAAAAAAAGTCTAAGTTGCTTTAATTGCTCTTTGTCAACTTCTTCTATAAACAAAGAAAGTTTTTTGCTGGAAAAACATTCTTTGTTGATGTTGGTGCTTTAAAAAAAAAATCAAAGCTATGAGAAGAAGTGATGCACTACCAGAGAAAACTTCTCATTGGATTATGTAAGTATCAAAATTATCTCTTCTCAAACATATGAGAGAAATA